AAAGAAGTACGTGGAAAATTCCTCAGTTTAATTAAAATGATTGTAAATATTGCAATGTTAATTTGCCACAGCAGTGCCTTTGCCCAGTTTCTGGTCTTGGTTTTCTGAGGAGGTACATTTGGCGATGGGAGCTGGTGTCTCCTCAGGGTCCTTGTGTTGTAGAACCAGTGAAGCTCAACTCCAGTGCAAGGTGCAAAAAAACAGTTTTAAGGCAAACTGCACCTGAAAAGAGGTTTAAGTTGGATATCCCACCTAGCTCAGTCTGGAGCTGACCTTGCTCTGAGATGACAGGTCTGTCTCAGGGCTGGTCTTGAATTTACGGAGTTTGAAACACTTCTTCTCCTGCATATGTAATTTATATAATTTTTCCATTAACTGTGTTCTCTTTTTGCTACCTGTGTGCTGTAGCAAGAGAAAGAAGGGGTGGGCTGGGCTGCAGTAATTTCTTGCCTTCCTTTCCCAGCACTGCTGCAGATTATTGAGGAATCTATGTCTTCATTTTCCTGGTGGGTAATATAACACTTGTGTACCGAGAAAAGCTGAGGGACTTTGTTGATTTTTGCGTTGAAGTGCTTCGACATGCTCCAGCAGAAAGTGCAGTGTGAATAGCGTGCTTCTAGCTGAGACGCTGGTCGCCTTGGCCCGTGGTGATCGGTTTGGGGCCGCAGGAGTGCCCGTGGCAGGGCAGTCGAGGGTGATAACTTGAATTTTTCTTTCCTAGAAAGCATGCCGGAGTGGGACCTGGTGTTTATCTGCCTGAAACCCCGTGTTAATAGCTATTGTGACTGTGACACCTGAAATTCAGGTTGGCGGCTCGGTGTCTGTTAAGGAGTGATGTAGCCACACATTCAACATTTGGAGTCCAGATACGCACAGCTTCGCCGCCGGGTGATTTAAAGCGAGTGGTTTGGGTCGTGTGAGAACTGTGTGTCAGGACACACGTGTCACTTTGAGTGTCCACGGTGACTTTTAGCATAAAATAAAATGGAGAGGAGGATTCCAGATGATTTTGAATTAAACCCCAGCATGTACTGCCCGTGTTCGGAGACATGAATAATGTTAGTGGCTAACAAGGTATCCTGTTGCCATCACTAACAGAGTTTGATGGGAGCACTGGGACAATTAGCTAACATCCTGAAAAGTCATTATCTTTCCCT